ACAAATGCCGCCGTCACCTTTCCTTGCAGGTCCTGCTCCACAAAAGCTCTGCAGCAAATGCACAGAAATCAAGAATCAGAAAAGTGCTGTGATAACTCTGTTTGAAATTACAATAATTAAAATAAACTACAACTTAAGATTTAAAAGATGTTTTATTCATTTCTGTAGTATACTGACTCAAAGCCTTTGATGGCAGCATTGCTTCATTAGCTGCTCTCGTCTCCGCCGGAGAAGCAGACGTGTGTGCTCATCTGTTCCTGTAACATCCAGACAAGAGTCAAGTCACCTCTGAGATTTGTGTGTTCAAAACTACATTTACATTTTGAGGTAGTTGATGAAGTGTTAAGTAGCTTTTTATCTAACACAAATGTTCCTTATTTTTTCAGCAGTACTAATGGATAAATAAAATAGATTACTTATATTTAGTTACTTTATGGAAATGTATTTTCATTACTTACTTTCATCTATTGCAAACAGTGCTGACAACAGTGAATAACACACATACATCACTCAGATGTCTACTTCATATCTAGGACCTATTAGACATACTCGTATGAAATTCATATAGAAGATTTTCCTACCAGATATTAAATAGACATTTAGTAATGGTATTTAAGATGTATATGGTTTAAAATGTATGTAAATCTACTTTGGAGACATACATGTGCTTCCTGGAGCCCTGTTAGCTATACATGATAAAACGTGTTTATACAGCAACATCACAACTATACTATACCATTTAGCATCTTTACACTTTCAACAATTTGCTCTAAAGTAGTTCAACAGATGTGAATTTAAAATAAGGAACCGTGTTTTTGGTTTGTAATACTTACATTTGTAAATGCCCTCATCCAAATTTTCCGCCATGTTCGATTATGATGCATCCTCTTCTTCTTCTTCTTTATGATGCATCCTCTTCTTCTTCTTCTTTATGATGCATCCTCTTCTTCTTCTTCTTTATGATGCATCCTCTTCTTCTTCTTCTTTATGATGCATCCTCTTCTTCTTTATGATGCATCCTCTTCTTCTTCATGATGCATCCTCTTCTTCTTCTTCTT